TTTTGTGTTTTAGGAGCCACCAGCTAGGCACCTGTGCTGCTCGCTGCCAGGAAGAATGCTCCTTGCTCAGAGAGCAAATGTTTACAAGACATCCTAAGAGCTGCTGGTCTTGAATGAAGTTCAGAGCGGTCGGCTTTGATTGGCCGTGGCTATAAATAAACAAGTCGTGACTCACCTCACACACTATGACAGGGTGTTTAGTAGCCAGCATGGTCAAAAGCCAAACAGTTTGTTTTCCTTCTGGTCATGTGAGGAAGAATCACCACCCATTTAGTACTTTTATTTTTCTGCTTCTACTGGAAATCTTCCTCAATATCTCCCATTTTTCTCAGGTGTAAGCAGCAACCAAAATGATGAGAAGCTAAATCACTCAAACTTTATTAATAAAGTGAAAGGCTTGAGAATATGAGAGCAAAGAGTTTATTCTTAAAACTATAAAAAAATCCTTTTTTTCCTCCCTGCAAAGTGTCAGTCACAAGCTGTCAGAAGAAGCCAAATTATTCTCCAATTACTAAATTCACAGATGAAAAAAATCCACAAAAACATCGTAATTCTTTTAAATAAGGAATAGGAGTACAAGTTTACAATAATGATTAATTGCATTGCTTTTAAGTTCCAAGCTCATTTGCACAACTAATCTTAGATAGTTGTGCAAATGAACGCTGTGCTGAAAGAGTCCTCAAAAACTAGTTTGCTGGCAGGAGGAAGCTTTCTGCCAAAATACTTTGATTGCTTCTGTGAAGGTGAATTGAATATGGATTTCCTCCTACGGCTTTTCTTCCTATTGCTGCATGCGTGACAAGGATTCTGTCACTCCAGCTACACCAGCTATGTCTCTATTAATTTTCAACACCCCCGCAACCTTATCTGTGCTGGTGAAGCTTTGTCACACAGTCCAAGACTCCAGGGATCCCTATGTCTGTCATTCAGCACTGCTCCTTCACACAGCTTCCTTCCTTCACTGAACAGGCTGACCTGTTGTTCTTAATATATTTTTGAATCCACATTACATCCAGAGACCTTCATATAAGAAATCTCTTTTCCTAGAAAGAAACCCAGCAAGATTTACACCTGCCTGTCCTGCATAAGACAGTAAGAATTGTCCTGGGGATGTCAAATGTTAAAAATAAATAAAATTAAAAAAAAGCAAAGCTGGAGCAAAGGTATGCCTTGTATCTTTGATTTGCTAAGCTATATATGGTGCATTGTGAGTAATACATAATTTCTGGAAAGCTGCTTAACTTTTAAAATGACAAAGGATTCTATCTTTTCTTCTTTTTTTCATATAAATTTCTTCAAAAGGACTAGTAAGGTCTAAAAAACCAGGATTAAAGTCCTCTGAATAAATTGTGTAATGCAATATATAAATAAGCATTAATAAATGTCACGCCTACAACTGAGACTTTCCATGGTCACTGATACCTCCATATTCCAATGCAATTATTTTTTCTTTTCTTTCCTTTCCTTGTTTCTTTTCTTATTTCTGATAGTTATAGATGAAATAATTAAAAGTTGAATTTCTTCAAGCTTACCCTGAAACAATAGAGCTGCTAAATTAAAAAATCTTAATTAATAAAATGATTCTGTGTAACAGTTTCATCTTCAGGTTGAAGTTGTGATGTCTTCTAATTAGGAAATGAAGCAAAAGAAATAACTGAAATGTGCAAACATGTAGGAGCATCATTCATAATTTAAATGTAGCATCAAAAATGAAAACAAACAAACTTGAATCCCTTGTGCAACTTGGACTGCCTTAGTTTTCATGCACTGCAATATGCTCTTACACAACCACATAAATTTACTATGTCAAATGACTTTTTATAAAAAATTCCATTTTAATGCATTTGATGATCACATTCAGAAGCTGAAAAGCTTTCAGTATCAAGTCTATCCCTGTATTTCAGCCTTGGAAATTGATGTACACCAAACTCTTCAAATGCAGCTTTGGACTGTTCATTTCTTGGTCACACTCTGTACACAGAGCTTACTGCTACAGCAGAAAAACTGTTTACTTTTACAATTCCTTACAACTCTTTCCAGCTTTCACTGAGGCAAGGAGGTTATTATCACCTTATTTACTTATTCATAAGGAAGACCTGCAAAGATTAGGTTCAAAACTGTCTACTAAATGAGTACCTATCTAAAATGTCAAGGATGTGTTAGGTTGGAATTAGAGCATTTATAAAACACTTCAGTACTCTAGTATTGGAGTGGTATTCTAGTGGTATCACTGCTCATCACTTTTGAAAATCATACTTGAGAACAGCATGAGTGCATAATTAGTGGAACTGCAATCACACTGAAGTATTTTGCTTGATATCACAAAGACTATCTAGAAAAATCATCTCATTTTTTGATCATTCTAAATTTTTCTGCATCCAAGGGAATTGGAGTTTGTATTGGCCCATCTGGAGGTTTCCTGCAGAACAGGTTCCAGATTATTTCACAGCAGCATGAGATGGACTGACCTCTCCAAGAACACTTGGGTGGAAGCAGCAGGTAAATAGAAGTAACGTACTCAATCAGGTCAAAGGGCTTTGGCATCTTTTATTGTGTCCAATAAAAGATGCAAGGAACAGCCAAGGAAAAAAATACATTGCTGCCTTCTACAGACAGTCTTCCAGATTTCAGTTTGTGGAGATTTGAGCCAGCAGTGATGCCTATTTTTTAGCTCTGAATGGATTTCCATCCTGTGATAACATCTACAACATCTTGTGGCAAGAGCAGCTGCAGCTTAAGTGCATACTGTTTGGGAACAAAAAACCAGCCAACCCCCACCCAATATTGCCTGCTGTGGTCTAGCCATTTCAACTGGTTTCCAAGATGTCTTATACTGGAACAGGCAGATGACAGTTAACTCTCTTCAGCTTTTCACAGTGATTTACTGTTTTTGCAGACCATTATAGTTCGGGGTTTTTTTGATGGGACTGCAAAATTGAAAGACATAGGTGTTTAGAAAAGCGTTTACCATTTTATATCATTGCTAAAAATCAGTTTTAAATTTCTCCAATATTGAAAACTCAGAGTGACTAAAAGTGACAGAATGAGGAAGGAAAGTATTTTCCTACCCATGTAATTTTTCAAGGAGATCCTTATATCCTTGCATAGTTGAAGCTAAGCCCTGCATTAACTGCACTGGACTTGAGTCACTCTTCTCTGTCTTTCTAAGTTCCTTGCTACTTTTGAGGCCTCAACTCACATGACTAATCCATGCTTCTCTGACCAACTTCTTTGTCTGAGCTGCTACATTCCAGCCTTGTCATGTCTCTCTTAACTTCTTGCAGCGTTTTCTGAAATTCTCCCTCCCCTTGGCTCTGTTGGTTCTTCAAGAGAAAGAACAACCCCTTCTACCTTACAGTGAATTCCTCCTCCTTGTGCTATTACTTCCGAAAGGAACATGGAAGCTCTTGGTTTCGTAATCAAGAGGAAGAAGATTCTATCTACAATGTCCTCCTCTTGGTCAGCTCATTCAGCTTTGAAAGCCCTATTTTTGCTCACCTGTTTCATTCATGTAAGCTCTTGCATGCCCTCAAACACCCTAACTATTATTTTGTAAATTCTTCCTGTGTTTACCATAACCAATTTAAGGTAGGAGAGACCAGAAATGTAGTTATTCCCAGTGAGAGCATACTATCATTTACACATTTTGGCCTCTTTTCTAAGTCGTTCCTCATGCTTTGTTGGCTGTCATTACCACACTTTTACACACAGCTTTCCAGAGTACCTGATCTTCTTTATGTTATTTGGATAACTTTAAGAATGAGTTCTTCTTACTTCTGCTTCTCTACACTATCCTGTTTTCCACTAAGCTGACCTCTTCTAGACCTTTCCAAAAACTTCCTTGAGAGCTGCTGAGTAACAGCTCTTTATGTCAGGTATGAAGACACCCCAAAAGATGTGCTGGCATGTAGATCAGATTGACAGTCTGCCTGACATATGGCTTGATCAGGGAATCTTACCAGTTTCGCTCTTGCCAAGTACAGATTGGGGCTGAACATGTATTGTAATTATCAAGTAAATGGCCTTTTGCCCAAATAGTGTGGACGTCTATGCAAAATTTTCCTTTTACCGGCAGGCACCAAAGACTGCACAAGTCTTCAGCAAAAGAAGGGAAATAAAAGCTATATTCTTGCCAGAGACAAGGAAGCAGCCTCACTGAAAAGCTAAAAAGGGTTGGAAATAGTGTCATATACACTCTTTACACACTCAAGATAGATACTGATGATGCTCAAGGGTTTTAGGAGGTAGGTGGTGCGTCCCACCCAGGCTGCAAACTTTCAAAGATTTTAATTAATCAGCTGTGGCACACTTTAGCTGGACAACCAGCTCCAGAACTACTCACAACCACTGCTGCCTTCTATGTCTCTCCTCACCTAAAAGGAAACACAGAGCTTTCAATGTGTAACCCTGTTCTAATTATTCAGCTATGAATGAGCCTCACTTCCAATAATGTGAATGAAAAATAAAAAAAAAAAATTACCTTTTTTTTTCCCCCCTCCTCCCACCAAAAGAACATCTAGTTTGCATTTAGTTTAGTTTGCATTTCCAGAAGTAGTGGAAAAGTCTAGCATTTTACTTTATGTAGATGGTTTGTACTGGTGTATCTTATCTTCAGCAAAAGCATGGGTTTAAAATTAACCATGATTGTCAAAAAGAGATGTTTAGGATGAAAATGAATGTGAAATGACTTTTAATGCTATTGAAAAAAAATAATATTATTAACATATATGAAGTCCTCCAGAATTACCTATTTCCCTCCTTTTCAATTTAGGAAACTGAGTAAAAGTATTACATTTGTGTGTGTGTGCAGGCATGTGTACATTTATATATTTATAAGCACACACATATGAAAGTATAGGTTTTACCATATTTCATCAATTTGAAGGGCATGCCTGATTTTCCTGTATTTTCAACCAAAATTTGCTAAAAGTTTCCTGTCCTGATTCTTTCTATGTAAAGCTGAATTCAAACTGCAAATACTTACTATATTTACTTAACCTTGAGGTCTCTCCATACACTGTGAGATATACAAAGGAGGCTGGTTTTAAAAGAGAGGAAACAAGCGTAAATGAAAAATCCTCAAACTGGACCTGCTGAACATGCTCAGTTCTTTGCTGGGGTACTATACCAGGTGTAACCACAAGCAGTAAGCAGTGTGCTAAAAAAGATGAAGACACCTATTACACACAAAAAATAGTCTGGTATTTAGCTGTACCAAGGTTCAGGACTGGAAAAAAAAATAAGAAAGAAAAAAAATCTTTCAACAGTTGAAGACCAATAAAAGCAAAGAATAAAATGATCAGGAAATTTTTTCTTTCTTCATGGAATTCTGCATTTGATGCAGGATTCTTATTTGTACCTGGATGAAATAATTAATTATTAAACATTTCCAAGATCACAAGCTGCATTTTCAGAAAAAAGCAGCCCAAACAAACAGCATTCTGTTTTGACAAAAAAAAAAAAAAAAAGTAGTGCAACATTCAAAAAGCTAAACAAGATACCACATGCAAGAAATATTCACTGGGCAGAACAAAGCACATGAATATGTATTTTTAGAGAGTCATAAAAAATTGAGTATGAAAGCAAACTGACTATCAACAGACACCAAAACCTGATTTGTATCAGCAACAATGAATTGTCACTATGAGGTTTTAGTGTTTCTCACACAGCACACATAATAATGCTCCCTGGTGCATGACAGTATTTCCAAGTTTCCAACACAAGCAGAAAGAGGAATTAAGGAAGAAAGAGACACTCCAACTGCAGTTTTAAAAGCAGATTATTAATTTTAGTCACATGAAGACAGCAAATCTTGCTGTTTACAAATACGACAGATCATGCTGGATTTGTGTGACAAACAGAGAGGAGCTGGAGACAGGAAGGTAGATCTTACCACTAAGGGTGAAAATCTCAACTGCTCTGTGACTTTTTGGCCATGGAATCTTGTTAAACAGCTATAAAAGAAACAAATATTTGGAGGCAAAAGAAAAAGACTAAACAAAAAACCCAAACGCACCTAGCAATGATCTCAACCATTTCTGAAGATAACTGAGTATTTTTTCAAAATTTTCAAGAAACCTTTTACATATTCATTAAATTATTTGATTTATTATACTGCATTTCTACAAAGGTACTAGTTTTGTCCTAGTTCTCATGATCTGTAATTCAGTCAAGTCATATTAAAATGCACTTTTTCCCTAGGCATACATGCTATTCAAGATTCTGAAAATTGCCCATCTCCCAGTCTCTTTGTTTGCAGCACTCTGAATCTGTTTCTTCTCAGCAGTTGTTTTCTTTTCCTACTGACAAAAAGATGAACTGTATGAAAGGCAGACCATACAGCAAGATACTCAGACCACATACTGAGTGCCCCTATGTCTAAAAGATGTTGCTGGTGTGCTCACAATTTGCTTAGATGACACACCATTACTTCAGTGCTGCAATCATCCTATGAACATGAGGATAGGAGCCAGTTTTCCACCTAATTATATAATCTCTCCTTTGGTGCAGCGTAAGAAACTCTCTCCAGAGAGAGATTAGTGCAATTGCGAGCCATAACTAGATCCAAGTCCCAGTCACCAGTTCTTAACTAGACCTTAGAAGCTTAAGGATGAATAACTGCAGGACTTCAAGTACATTATAATGTAAGCACAACACACAGTTATATATCATTCATTATTTTCACTGACACCAACCCTATTCTTCCATCCCAGCATAAAGAGCCAAAGTTTTGACTGATATTCAGAATTGCTAGCCAAATATTTTTATAGTAGGTATGATTCATTTTAAGTCCTTAAGCTTCACAGCCTTTTTCAATGCCTGTATAGTGAAAGTGAGACAGATGACTAAATGACTGCAAATTTATCTACTTACTAACATTAACTTATCTATTTGTTTGCTTACTATGTGACAAGACATGAACTCTCCAGTGTTTACATGTCTGATGGTAAAACTGCAATCATATTCTCTCCCTTTAAAAAGAGCCTTTTTTCCTTAGAATTGTCTTTCTTCAGTCTCAGTGTGGTAGTTTATAAAACTGCAGCTGTGGCAAAAGAAAAGATTATTAAATGATCACTAACATGACTCAGTTTCAAGGCCATATTTTCATGTGATGGAGAAACTGGTAATCTGTATGCTACATCTGTTTGCTACTTTCCATCTCCAACACTTGTAACAGCAAGTTAGCAATTCTGATATACTTTAAGAAAAAACAGTAACATGTACATTTATATAAGCAAATTTTTAAGTATTTACAAAATAAAACCAGGTAGAAAATGTCATAGTGCATGCCACTTTAGAATGCACGTATTTGTGTATAATGATAATCAGCTGGTTTAAAAAAATATAGGAACCTGTCACCACAGTTCATATTATGTTTTGACCTCACATAACAGCCCTACCAGCTGAAGAGAGAAAGCAGACATAAATAAACCTCTTAAATGCCAACATTAAAACTCAAAGTAAATAGTTCTACCTAGTAAAACTTGTGACAACATAGAAGGGTAAGATAGGTAATAATAAGAAGCAGCAGCAAGAAACACATTATACAAAGCAACAGTATGTTTCACACGATGGCAATTCATACACATACACAATTAGAAGCTGAGTAAGATGGTTAATTCTGAGTGCACTGATTAAAACAAAGCTAACTTTATCCTGAAGTGACTGGATAAACCAATTTCTTCACAGAGTTTCTCTGAAGTGAATACTTGTCAAGCCCAACCATTCTGCTCTTTTAGTATCCAGCCCTCTGTGAAACATCTGTAAATTTAAAGCAATGGGAGGCCAACGCAACACCACACAGCTCCACGGAAAAGGCAGAGGGGCAGCCAAGACTGCAAGAGAGAGCTCAGCGCTCTCCTGCAGCCACACCCACTCCCAAGAAAACTACAGTCAAGTGGCGCCTGGGCTAGTAGAAGTCAAAAAGAGTTCAGAGGACAGCTCATGATCAATGAGGACCTGCAGCTTAACCCGTTTGTCAGCAAGGGCACCTGCTGAGTTGTGACTGAGAGGAATCCCCCGAGCTGGGCAGGCGAGCGCTGCCAGAGCACTCAGCCAGAAGGGCAGAGCACCCGATAACCTTCACCCTGCCTGGAGAGGATGACAGGAGCAATGGCATTCTGCTGGGGGGCTGACAGAACCGCTGGGAAGGCAAAACTAACTTCAGCTAGCTAGGCTTTTGTCCCAGAGACAAGTTTGCCATTCACTACTCCTTTCCTATTACTTTTTATTTAAATTCAGGGCATTTCAGAAGGTGGTTTAGAACAGAGGTACAGACCATTTGTATTGTACAGCACGACAGCCACTCCTGTCATTGCTAAAACTTCCTTTTCCCTCATTTTTAAAGGGACATCAAAAATGTATAAAGAATCATTTTTTATTAAGCTGTATGAAGTATATTTTAGAAGTACAATTTGCTGCTTGAAGACTGAAAAGTTAAGCTTTCAATTTAGAAGTTACTTATATATAAGTTTGTATATACCTATACAAATCTGTAAAACACACAGTATTCTATCACAGCTTTTGCTCTCTCCTTTAGAATCTCGAATAAAAACCATGAACCCATCTCCCTGGATGTTCCTATAAAGAAGGGAAGTAGGAGGGTGAGAAAAAACCCTCTCTACTTAGACTTTTACTTTAATTCAGTGAGGTGGTTTTTTCATATTAAAAAACCCAACCAAAAAAAAAAAAACAAAAAAAAAAAAAAAAAAAATCCCAAAAAAACCAAAAAACCCCACCACCTCTAAATCTAAAACAAAACAAAATAAACCCACAAAAAAACCCCCAGCCCCCCAAATAATTTATTTGGGAAACATTCAGAGCACTTTAAATACATAATTTTTCAACTGCTTTTCAAGTAACCTGCAGTGCTCTTCACCTCCTTTCAGTGACTAAGAAATCCCCAAAAGACTAATTTCTATCTGCTAAAAGTACTCCTTACAAAAGAAAAACCCTCTTCAGTATGCTTTGAGTTTGATTACTGATTGAAGAAATAAGTATTTTCCATGGGACATCTGCAACAATTTTGAGCCAAGTGTTTGAAACTTTAATAAAAAAGTTATATTTATGTGTCATTTTCAGAAACTTCTGTTTATGTGTATCATCATATTGAGTTTCTAGCTGAATTCTCACACTTTGAGACTTCGATTATAATAAAACATATCGAATTCACCTAACCAGTTAGGACAGAAGCTGTCAAGATACACATTCTAAGAAAATTGTCTGCTTATGAATACAATGGTGAATACAATGGAAACAGCTTGTTCTTGTACAGCCTTGACATGAGAACTTCATACAGTAATGGTTCAGACACATCTCAGTTTGTTCTAAGGAAAGCTACAAATGTTTAGAACTACTTTTTAAAGATCAGACATGCACACCTCAGATATTGTTGCTCTGATTAATTATATTACTCTGATCTCATGCCTAAATGCATAAAAGCATGATGTTAAGGTACACAATGACCTTGCAACTTCCCTGGAATGTGGTGGTAGCAACAGACACTCCATCTAAAATTGAGCAACAGCCACCTCACGTGCCCTTCTTGGATTTCTCACAGTTTAACATTTATATACAATTTATATAAAAATACAGATATAAATAGCTACATTTATTTCAGTCTTAATGTGTCACTTAACTGAATAAAAAGTCAATGCTTGGGTATTACCATGACCAGCTAGACTGGGCCTGCCAAAGGCCCATCTAGCCCTGTGCCCTGCCTTTAACACTTGCCAAAACTGAATACTTGGGGACACCTAAGCAACAGAATAAAAATATGGGATAATACATAATGATAGCTCCATAAAATTCAACAGAGCATACAAAAATCTGCAGCTTGGGGACTTCCAAAGTCAGAGGTATTGATTTTTTTTTTTTAAAGCCTCCAATTAATTTTCTTTTAAAAATCTGTCCTGTAATTTATATTTAAAATCCATCTATGGTTCTAATATTCACAACAATCATATGTCAGGGATTTCTGAAACTTATTACACATTTTTACTTTTTCTCACCTTTCTGCCTGCTATTTTGATGCCTCCTCATTCCAAAAGTGTGAGACAGAAGGCATGTTCTGTGCGGTATTTTGAGAGACCTCTATTGTACTTCTCTTTAATTATTCATTTTCTCTTTTTAAAAGACCTACCTCATTTACTTCTTCTTTATAAGGAAATAGTTCTGTGTATTTGATCTACCTTGTTGCTGCGCTCTGGATTATTTTTTCTCCTGTACTGATTTCTGGAAGGTAGCAGATTAGTCCCACACACAATATTTGGACATAAATAGGTTTACAAGTGTGGCATGTGACTGTCCTTGCTTTTTCCCTTGCTTTTTCCCTACATGATACTTAACAGTAGATTTAGTCTGTTGACCAATGCTGGTTTTGTGAGACCACATCTTATTCACAAGGGGTTACAGCCACCTTCAGACACTATTATTTTATATGTGAATTTAGTACAGGTATTTCTGCATAACTTCACAGTTATCTACACTGAATTTCAGATGCTATTTTACTGAGAAAGAATCCTGTAAGGATCTTCTGAAATTCTTCATAAGAGATCCTTGTCCTAATTTTCTTGAATAATTTTATACCTGATCATCCCACTACTCACTGCCTTTTCAAATCCCTTATGAATACATTTGTCAGAATAGCTCCAGCACAAATAGTGGATATTTTTTTATTCACTGTGAAATTCTCTTTAGCATTACCTCACTATGAACTGACCTACAGTAACCTCAATGGCCACAACTACATCAGTGACCTATTAATCATACTACTAATCCAAGCACTCAGTAAAAAAAGGCTGAACTTCAGAAAGAGGAGCTAGGGAAAATCTAACCTAGGGAAAGGAAATGTGTGTCATATGGTGCTGTGGCCATAACATACAGGTTGACTTGGGAGAATGTGGTTCTGCACTACAGCAAATATTTATCTTTGAAAATTTTAATTCAACTAATCACCTTAATATGTCTGATCATCTGTATTCATTGAGTGTCATACAGAATATAAGCATATGTTACTTTCTGTTTCCCTTAGTGTAAAAATAAAATACTTATAGCTGTCTAGAATTTATCTTCAGCGTTATTTAGACTCTAAAACATTTGGAATATTAATTTAAAAAGTGTTTAAAGCATCAAATATATTTTAGCAAGTAAACATGTAACATCTGTCAATAAGAAATAAGAGTCGAAAAGGAGACTTGGAAGGAATACCATGAAGTTTGTTTCAAAACAGCTGAGCTGTTTTACTCAACTGTATGTTGAAACACCTAAAAGAGTATAATATGTTATTCTGCTGATAGGCTCACATGCTTCAACAAAACTGTGCCAGGACATTCCTTCCTAAATTAGTGACTAATCAGATGCTGGGCTGGGAAGCACACCCTCACATGTTACAACCACCCAGACGTTTGCAGCATTAAAAAAAAAACCCAAAAAAACCCCAAAACCCAACTACAACTATATGTTCTTGTGTCCCCTATAAATAATTCCCAACATGCGTTTTGTAATCCAATGCTTGTATTTGGCAAACCAGATGCAATTAAAGGTCAAAACTTGACTACTATAGAAAGTACATGACTACTCTACTTCTTATGATCTTTCTCTTGAATATTACCATTCTAAATATTCTAAGCAAGGATGTCCTCTTCCCTCCATATCAATAACTATTATATATTTCTAAATACTAGTATATATTTCTTGTTTCATTGATCACAAATGTTTCTTGCTTCTTTTATCAAGTTCTCAAATCAATCAAAATTGCTTGCTTCTTTTTCTTTCTTATTACCCTCAGATTTCCATTTTCCTTCAAAAATTCCTTAGAATTTGAAAACTTGACAGAAATTAACTCAATAGGCTGTTAAGAGACCAGCACTTTTTTCGTTGTTTTTGCGGAACAAACCCTACTCTTTAAGTAATATATATACATAGCAAAAGCAGCATTTCTTCCTACAGGAAACAGTTAATACAGGCCAATATTAAAACAGGATAAAAGCTACTTGTATTTGCAGGAGAAAAACATCTTTTTCACATGTTTAGCAGAAGACATTCTATTTGCTATTCATTCAGTCTTTAATGATAATATAAAAGTACAGAATATGGTTAAGCTCGCTACCTATTTTCATGGAGCTTTTAATCAACCATTATTAGACTTACATTTAAGAAGGGCCATTCCAAAATAAAATGGTCCAATTTTCTTCTTAATCTTAAAAGGAGTGTCTCTATTTAAGGTAACACTGGGTGCTCCCTGAATGCTATAGTTTATAAATACCCTTTAAGATGACAAGTCAAATGACTTCAGGATTGCAAGTTATCTCTCACAGTTGTTCAACTGTTAAAATGGAAAGCGGTAAGAATAGAATAAAAACACCAATGGCAAAAATATTACATGTGCAATGGAACAAACAGCACACAGGACATGACCATTTTAACATTACTCTTTTCGCCTAAATTTATTCCCTACCCTTTAAACAGGTCAGCTTTGTGAACTTCTCTCCTTATGAGCAATTTGAGGTCTGTCATTCCATGCACACTCTTACACTCATCAAAAATGCAGTCATCCTTTACTTACGATCAGTCTGGTACTCCTTGCAACAATATTCTGCTAGTTTAGGCACTAATTTGATGCAACCCACCTAATTCTATAATAATGTACATTTTAAAATACATAACAAATGTGAAAAAAGCAACATTATGTTTGCAAGCAAAACAAATCTCTGAGGCAGGCAAACATATCCAACAGCTCTGTAGCAATCTGACAGGCTGCTTCTGGACTAGGCAGTAGTCACACTTATTTTACAGTGTAAGCCTATAAAGAATTAGAAAAAGGATGTTACAACTGTATGCCAGTTCTGTTCTCTTTTGCAAGGCTTGGTACCTAGTACTCTAAAAAAAGTACCATTGCCTGTTAACCAATTCAAACTTACAAACACAATGTGCAGCTGAGGTCTGACTGTCTAGACATCTAACTACGTCTGCCTAAGCTCTTTGAAATCTTTGAACTAGAAGAGAGAGCCTTGCTAACTCGGAGAATTGCCCTAGAAAATAGATGTCCTTTACGAGGAATTGACTTTTACCAGTTTGTGCTGTCTGCAAAGCCTTGGAGTACAGTATATCCACTTGAAAATAAGGAATTAAAGATTGCACTCTGGTCAGTAACTTAGTGTCAGTTCTACTGTATTGATATGAAGCTACTTCTGCATAATCACAAATTGCAAGACACATGGATTCCCACCAAAAATTAGAAAATCCCAGAATATGGAATACTTGTTCATAAATCTTTCTGGATTAGGGATAAATATTCAGGTGACACCTGACAGAGGCAGTGACCAGTTGTTCTGTTCAAAATGATGTGACTGAATCCAAGTCATTTCCTTTCCCTGTCTGAGCTGGTTGGGAATGCTGGTGCCACCCTTTAAGAGGCAGTTCTTGCAACTTGAACCTAGTAAGTTCAACACATGAGTTGAAGTACATGACATTACCTTTTGGCTGACATTTTGTAAGACTATGTCCAAGCCTCTTGGATCCTTCAAATGGAAGAATCTTTATTTAAGATGTGAGGGGTCTTTGTCACTTTCTACTGCATACACTCAATACCAAGTTTCACTTTCTTATTGACAACATACCTGTCAATCACATCCCTGGACAGGTTTTCCTGTAAGGCTGTTTA